CGCTCATTGTCGACGACAAGACCCCCGTACCAGCCATAGATTCTCCATCAGTCATGAAATTTAATAGAGCCTATGAAACCTATATGATTGTTGATGCACAAATTTGGGCATGCCTCTTTGCTATTGTGTCTCCTACTGTGCAAGCACATATTCACTTTCTCTCGTCCTTCGCGGAAATTTGGATTCATCTCTAATAAAAGTACAATTCTTTGTCCAGAACACATATTTTTAACTCAAGGAGCGTCTTCATGCTCTCCGTAAAAGGGACTGACTCCATAAAAAAATATATTGATATTGCACTTGGCATTGTTACGCCTCTAAAAATGGCTCACGAGCTCATACTAGAACATGATCTTATTCTGTGTGTACTACGTGGTCTTCCTACCGAATATGCCTCCCTCAAACAGAATGTCCGGACGAACATCAGCTCTCTGACTTTTAATCAAGTCTCCTCGTGGTTATTGTCCGAATAATTAAATGTTCAACTTGAGCAAAAATTACAGATTGGTGACTTTTCTTTCCCCACTTATGTTCATAATGCTCTCTTTACTAATTGTGGAGGATGTAGGGGACGAGGCCATGGCGGTCCTGGATACTGCGGCAGGGGCCGTGGGCCCTCTTTTGGAGGTCGTGGGGGACGGAAGCAGTCTAGCGGTTGACCTTACTCCAGCGGCAGTAATACGGGTGGTCAGCTGCCCGTGGGGGGCGACTCAGGTAGTCACGCATGTGGTGGCTAGCAATTCGGTCTGGTGACGTATCACCTTGGAACTGTTATGATGAATCGTACTCGGGTCCCCCACAAGCATACTACTCTGAAAATCACTCTCAACCAAGTCAGAACTGGCACTTAGACACTGGTGCAGATGCTCACGTCACTTCTGATTTGACAAGGTTGCAACTTTCTTCACCATATCAAGGCACTGTATCTATTACCACTATGGGAGGTAACACTTTCTCCACTACTCGTACCGGCTCAGGTTATCTCGATCATCACACCCACAAGTGTTTTCCATCTAAATAATCTCCTTCATGCCCCATCCCTTAAATCTCACCTTTTATCTATCCATCAATTTACCTGAGATAACATGTGTTCTCTCTTGTTTACCTCTAAGGATTTTATGATTCCGGAAAACATAACCAATAAAATGCTTTTCCAGGGCCCTATGAGCATGGACTATACTCCCTTCCATCATTATGTTCCTCCTGTGGTGATCAATAATGTCAAGACTACTCCTTATCAATGGCATTTCCACCTTGATCATCCATCCATTCAAACCACTAAGTCTCTGTTGCCTAAATTAGGTTTTAAATATTTTGAACATTGTGATTCTTGTTATATTTCCAAGTTTCATAAACTCTCCTTTCCCTTATCTCAAACTACTACTAATTCACATTTTCAATTAGTTCATTTTGATGTGTGAGGACCTACTTTTGTACCCTCATTTGGAAGATATCATTTTTACATTAATTTCATTGATGATTTTACCAAGTCTTTCTGGTTGTATCCTCCTTGACATAAATCTGAAGCATATGATGCCTTTAAAAGTTTTTAAAACATGGTCCAAAATCAGTTTCAAACTCAAATCAAAATTTTCAAACGGTTATTGCTTGTGAATATGTAAATCACAAGTTCAGATTGTTTTTACAATAGTCGGGGGTTCTCCATCAAAAGTCTTGTCCTTATACCCTTGAATAGAACGGTGTTGCAGAACGCAGACATCAACATCTTCGCGGTCAGACATGAACGGAAGGATTCTGGCTATCTTCGCGGTCAGACATGACTCAGAAAGGGGGGAGGAAAGAGACTTACTTGGAAGCGGCTAGAAGACTCGGAGGACTCGGAAATAGTTGAAGCAACCGGGCAGTTTTTTAGTTGGTGATTTGCAAAGTGAGAAAATTCAAGGGGGAACCTTGATTTATATAGGAGAGGTGCCGCCCAGACGAACGAATGGCAAAGCAACACGTGGCAGCCAAAATGATTCGTCATCATAACCTCTCGGGGAGACGAAACGGCACAACAAATCAGCGGCTCCGTACCGGATCTCAATAAAGATTCTCCCGCCTTCAGTACCCGGTTTTCAAAAATTCAAATATATTGGTTTTGGCGCTTGTTTGTAGAAGCCGTTTTCCCGCCAAAAAAAACCTCTCGGCAATTCAAATTTGAAAGGATGCTCGGATATGCTTCCCACCCATGATGGTTCGCACAGAACTGGGAATCGGAGGACTCCTTGATGGATAATAGCCCATGGGTACCGCCCAGTTGGTCTGACCGACTAGAAGGTACCAAATGTGATGCCACCTGACCTGTCCAACTCGAGCTATCCGACCGGTCGGGAGAAGAGGCAGATTCTGCTATCAAAGTGAGTCTAGAGAACCGGTCAGTTGAATAATCGGAGACGTGCTTAAGATTATTATAAATACCCTTAAAAGCCTCATTTGTGACGCAGGCTTTAATTAACCCACATGGCCTGTACTTTGTAATAGCTCTTATTATCATTAATAACCAACCGGGTTGCAGGTGTTTCCACCTACAACCCTTCCGATCACTTACACTTAGCATTTGTGTGGTAATTTACACCATCATTACCAATGATAGGATGCTCGGAGACGTCAACCCAAGCCGACGCCAATAAGCACTCCTCCTCCGGCGTCCACTTTTGGATTGACCGTGCCGCCTCGGTCATCGTGCCTTTGGCTTTGTGGCTTTTCCGGCGTGTGCTTTTTTTCGATCCGGTCGGTTTCGGTTGAGTCTCCGGAACCGAATCTCGCTTGACGTACCCCGATTGTTGCGTCTCGAAGATCGGCGGTTGATCGCCCCACTCTTGGTAATACCACATCGCGGCGTCGCTTGGCGGGAGATTGTCGGGAAAGAAGCAAGAGCCGGAAGGATTCATGTTGAAAAGAGAGGGAGTGATTTCGAAATTATGGGAAGAAGAAGATTGAAGAAGAGTGAAGAAGGAAGGTGTGAGGGGGGGTTTGAATTTATAAGGATTTTTTTTGTTTTTGGGGTCCAACGGCTATAATAGCCGTTAAAGGGGGAGGGGAAGAGAATGACGAAGCGTCATTCGTTTGACGCACACCTCTTCACGCTCGGGTAACGCTGCCAGGGGGCGGTGTTTAACGCCCCCGGGGTGTGAAAATAACTCTAACGCCGGGTAGCATTATGGGTATACCCAGTGCTCTGACATATAATGTGAATGTCACGTCAAAGCTCCAATGAAGATTCACTAAGTTTGATGTCATAATCTAAAAAAGGATAATGATATTTCTACCCAAGAATTTGTACCTCATTTTATACACCGCAGCGATGCACTAATATCTTGTGTTGGTGTAATGCTAATTTTTTATAACGCACTAACACTTTTTGTCAGTATAAATTTTTATAACGCACCAACACTTCGTTAAACCATCAAAATACTGATGCATACGGAGATACAAATTTGAATATGATCCTTTAAAAAAAGGAGGGTACGGTTGACCGAATTTAGAAAGAACACTATCCGAGTATCAGGCTCTGTAGAGATCTCACAGGAGAGGAGCATTCCACTGAAAAGCACGAGAAGAAGAAGAAGAAGGGAGCAGCAGAAGATGAGCTCAACGTCGCTGCGGTCTTCCTACTTGGTCTCTTCGTCTCATCCCTTTCAATCGAAATTCCATCTCCAGCCACAACGTTGTTCTCTCGTCCAACTTAGGTTGCCAAAAAAGCCTCTTTCTTCCTTCAATTTTCACTCCCGGAGATTGTCACTGAGGTGCAGGTGTAACAGGACTCCCGGTGGCTCTGATTCTGGTAATTAATCTCTCTTTTTCTAGGTTTTCTCGATTTTCCAAATCTGCGGTTTCAATTATCTTGAATTTGTAGATACTTTACCAATTTTTTGTGATTATCTGAACCAGTTTTGTTTCGAATTTTAAGAATTTATGGTGTTAGAATAAGTGGACTAGATTGAGTTGACTGAGGGGTAAAGGCTTGGATTTTGCAGGTGAAAATGAGAGCAAAATCGTTCTTGATGCCTTCTTCTTGGGGAAGGCTATAGGGGAAGCTCTTAGCGAGCGTATTGAGTCTACAGTGGGTGAATTTGTAAGTACAATTGGGAGATTGCAAGCTGAGCAACAGAAGCAAGTGCTGGAGTTCCAGGTACTCTACCTGTCATTTTTTACTTCGAACAAGTAAAATTTAACTAATGCATAATGAAGTTATGTACAGCTGAAAAGATATGTCGAAATGTAAGATATTCTGACTTTAGCTTCTCACTTGCATATCCCGTGTGTCAGTAGTCCCGATTCCCAAACGAATTAAAATCAACACATTTAGCTATGTAAATCAGTGATGTACTACTTCATTGCTGAAAACAAACCAATATACTTGGCAAAATTCACAAGAACACTTCCAGAAATTAGAGATTTTACATAAATACTCCCAAATTTGTTTATTTACACCATTACTCCCACATTTCTCTTTTATTTACGTCGTTACTCCGCGATTGCTTCATTATCAGTGTTTCTCGGGTGCCTCTTTTTATACAGGGTTTTTCATCTTTTTTTTATTGAATTCAAATTAAATTAATATGAACAGACTTGATATTAATCATTAAAAAGATTTAAGAAGTTTGAAATCTCAATTTTTTTAAAAGTGATGGGAAATAAGGGCAATAATTAGGCTTACTAAGACGTGAGAAACGGTGGAGAGAATAAGTTGAAGTGAATTTAGTATATTAGAGTGGAAAAAATACATGTCTGCATTTTAACTGTTCACTTAACGCAAAAATGACACATCCAAGTAACACTAATGATCACTACCAAATTTGGGAGTAACAACGTAAATAAAAGAGAAATGTGGGAGTAATGATGTGAATAAACAAATTTGGGAGTATTTATGTAAAATCTGTAATTTCTGGGAGTATTCTTGTCAATTTTGCCAATATACTTTAGGAGAATGGTGAGGTCATCTAATAAGACAAATAATGACAGTATGGTTCTATGAATAATTCGCACATGATAGGACAATTGTCCCAAACGAACGAATTAAAATCAACATATTTAGCTATGTAAATCAGTGACGTACTACTTTATTGCTGAAAACCAACCTAGATACTGTATGAGAATGGTGAAGCGTTGGAATGTTCAACCATCGTCGCTGGCAGGTTAAGTGTTGTGTTGTGGTTAGTCCTTACGTGACAGTAAAATTATGAATAAATACGAGCTGGAGTGGGAGAATGTTATGTAACACATGAAGTCCATTACTTGATGGTGTTTGGGCTGTGGCTTCCTCTCAACCCTTTCGTGGTGGACTTCCTCATAAACTACCAAATTACCCCTGGGAAATTTGTACCCAACGACTATTTGCTGCTCGTATGCTTCATTAACCTCTTCAGACATATCAAGATTCCTCTCAATGTCCACCTTTTCACTGTGCTTCTCGAGCCAAGCTAAGTCCAAAGAGGTGAACCCCGATTAGCAAGAGGTTAATATGATCCGGGACAGAGAGTGATAGAAACCTGTTTGAATTAATTCAGGATCTAAATTAATTCTAAATAGAACTCTCCCTCCCTTCTCTTAGTAAGAATCTCACCGATGAAAAAGTGATAGAAGCCAAGAGGATCTCAATGTGATTGATGGTTTATTTTCCCCGGATATCTCAGCAATAGAGAAGCTGGGATATTTATAACAACTCTAACAAATGGATAAGATCAAACTGATCGGATAAGATCAAGAGAATGAAGTAATAAGTTCTAACTAGCTAAGCTATCATAGGGCCTCAGGAATCCTAATAACCTAATAACCTGAGAGTCCTTTTATTTAATAAATTTAAAATAGTAACAAACTTAATTATCCCACACCTAATATTATAATTAAGGTGGCCTTCTGCTATCACTGATCCGGATCTTATCATTACTCCCCGCTCTGAAAGACACCTTGTCCTCACGGTGGAAGTTTGGATGTTGGTGTTGCATTAAGTCATTCAGATGACGACAGACTATTGAATTTAATCTACTTCTTTGATCAACTTTCGAGATGCCTTGTAATTTATATCGCTTTCCGTCAACCCAAAAAATCAGAGACATTTCATTCCAGTTTGCTTGAATGGTATTCAGAGAGGCTAACCGTTTGATTCCAAGAACCATGTCAGAATGAGCTAGTGGAAATGGGTAAAAATCTTGTGTAAGAGTCAAACCTGGAAGCTTAACTGAAATGGATTTGCAAATCTGATCACACCGAATAATAAAACCGTCTCTTACCTGTACCCCAATTGTCTGAATAGAGGAAACAGGTAGCTTAAGTTGCTCCACAAGTTTTTCAGAGATGAAGTTGTGTGTTGAACCGCTATCAATTAACATGAGAACTTCATGTCCATGTAAGTTTCCACTTAATATCATTGTGGCGGACGTTGGTGTTCCCAGAATTGCATTAAAGGACACTTCCTCCTCTTTTGCCTCCCCATCAATGGGAACATGCTTGGGATTCATCGGGTTACCTTCCTCATCAACTTCCATCAAGGAGAAGGTAGTGGATGAAGTCGAACAACGGTGACCCGGCCTAAAGGGATCGCCACACCGATAGCAAAGTCCTTTATCCCTGCGTTGCAGCTTCATCGACTCGTCCCTACTAAATCTCGAAACGGGCAAGGATGGTGTTGAGCTTGAAGATCCTGAGAATGCAAGTGGCTGGGGCGAGTGAGATTGGGACAAGTTTTTTACCTCTCGGTTTGGGTCAATGGTAGAATCAGAACCAGCACCCTGACCTGATCCCATAGAACTTGTCTTGAAATGCACAGGTGCATTCCGTTTCTCTAACTCAAGGGCTAGACTAGAAGCCCTGAACACAAATTTGGGGGTTTGTGGATTCTGACCTCCGACCTCAAATCCTCTCTCAAACCAGCAATAAAGACACCCCAGAGACAATGGTCAGGCCAGTTTCGGACTCGAGCAACCCTTCTCGCCCACTCTTGACGATAGTCCTGTACGGAGCCTGTTTGTTTGATTAAGACAAGGTGTTCGTCTGGGTTCAAGTATTCTGGCGGTCCATAATGCTCCTCAATGATTTTGATGAATTCCTCCCAGTACAAGAGCGTCCTTTCGGCAATGATCCAGGAGAACAAGTCGAGAGCGTCACCCTCCAGGTGCATGGCCGCTATCTCAACCTTATCTTCTTCTGATGTTCCATAGTAACGAAAGTACTTTTCAGCCTTCGACACCCAGCCCCGTGGATCTCCGCCGCTGAATTTAGGGAACTCAACTTTGGATCTGGGAAATCGGCGGTGGTGATCGTTTTCATCGCCAGAATCGTCCGTATACTGCCTCATCTTTGTCTTCCCAGAAGTACTTCTAACCTGCACTTTCAGGGCAGTCACTTCTGCCTTAAGGTCATCTAACACAGAAAGCTTGGCAGCGATTTGTGCTAGAGTGTTGTTCTGCGGAGTAACTTCGTGTGCTGATTGCTCGCTGGATCCACCGTCCTCACCGTGGGCAGCGTTTGAATGGGACAACGGGTAATCACCATCGGGATCGAGTAACGAGCGCTCCGATACCAAATGATAGAAACTTGTTTGAATTAATTCAGGATCTAAATTAATTCTAAATAGAACTCTTCCTCCCTTCTCTCAGTAAGAATCTCACCGATGAAAAAGTGATAGAAGCCAAGAGGATCTCAATGTGATTGATGGTTTATTTCCCCCGGATATCTCAGCAATAGAGAAGCTGGGATATTTATAACAACTCTAACAAATGGATAAGATCAAACTGATCGGATAAGATAAAGAGAATAAAGTGATAAGTTCTAACTAGCTAAGCTAGCCTAGGGCCTCAGGAATCCAAATAGCCTGAGAGTCCTTTTATTTAATAAATATAAAATAGTAACAAACTTAATTAACCCACACCTAGTAATATAATTAAGGTGGACTTCTGCTATCACTGGTCCGGATCTTATCCGAGAGTAAGTAAAAGGGCACCTATATGGGAACACTCATGGCACAAATGTATGCTAGGGGCCTGCTCTTACCAACTTTTATGTTCTATTATCCACACTAGTCTACAGATTGCAGTCTCCAAAGTTCAGATTCAAGACTACAAGTTTTAGTTAAAATTAATCCACTATCCAAATTTCGAAGTCCAGGATCTAGCGTCCAATGCCCAGGCTCCAATCTCCATTGCCCAAACTACGGATTCCAGGTAGAGTTAAGATGAAAATAACATGCACTGGATATAGACAGGGAGAACAGGATTTATGAGTTTTACAGCAACTGGAATACAAGAGTGTTGTTATCAAAATATGGCCCTCTCCCATGTGGCTAATGGTGTTTATGTAGATGTTGTGGGTGTGACCCAGCAAATGCCCAAGATCTTTCCCGTGCTGACCACAACCACATGTATCTATGCTTGAGTGGATTGCACTTGTTATTCATTTAACCCTAGGCTCGTGGTGTGCTGGCTACAACATGTTTCCTAAGCCTACATATCTTCTTAGGCTTACAATTGTCCACTAGCATGAGGGTCACATGCACACTAGGGAATGCTCGGTCAAAACCTCTTACCGACCGGCGAAACAGGTCCTAAGATGTCACCTGCCTGAACAGTCACATGACCTTTGCCCAGGCCCGTCTCACTTCATGTGTGTGCATGTGTTTGTGTGTGTGTGTGTGTTTCTTTGTTTGTGGTAAAGCTTATACTCCTCCAAATATGTAAATTTCTGACTTGATATGGAGGACTCACTAGTACTCTAGTAGATGGATCTGGCGGTGACAATATAGTTCTATGAATAAACTGCACATAATAGAGGTAGTTGAGTTTCTTTTCATTATCACAGTAGTATATTTTAAATTTAAACTCGCATGGGCAGGTTATAAACTGTTTGCGCTTCTTGCATTTGTGAAGTAGCAGTTAGTCAATGCAACTTTCGACGCTCATCATGGGTCATCTGGAAAGAGCCGCTTTATGTTTTAAACATAGGGGTAACGTACATCCGACCCCCCCCCTACCCTGCAATGGGCGGGAGCCGTTGGGGCACTGGGGCAATGTTGTTGTATGGGCACGTTAATTGCAGGTTAATGTATTTCTAATTTCTATGATGTTCTATAGGTTGACCAATGCCTCTATGATGTTTTTGGGTTCCACACTTCCATGTCTTTTCTATTAACACACTTCGACAAAATGGTCATGAATCGAGATGACTGCCTTCTATATATTGAAGTTGCAACATAATTGGTTAAATGAACTATAATTGTTCTTCATAACGAAGAAATTCCAAAACACTGATTGAATTGCAGGATAAAGCTCATCAAGATAGTGCATTCTATCTCACTATGTCTTGGGGATTTTTATTCCCTTCCATATTACATAACAAGTTCCATGACATTGGTAATAACATTGATATTTAAAGTGCAACTGAACTATGACATGACTCCTGAGCTTGCTCCATATCTCAACATTGTATTTTATGTTTTTTCAACACATTGTCTAATAACATTGTATTGGATAAACAACACATTGTCTCTTTTGGAACACTTTGGGCTAGAAATACTTCTTATACTGACAGGGTTTTTTAACACACGAATGTAGGAAGAGGTTTTGCATAGGGCTAAAATGGCCAAGGAAAAGGCAGCACACCAAACGTTTGAAGCACAAGGTCTTACCCCAAAGCCAGCCACACCTGATCCGATGACTTATGCTTCAGTACCACCAAGTCGAGCTAATACCACCTCCCCTTATCCCGACTCAAATTTCCAGGCCTTCAATAGAGGATCAGATTCTAGCGACGAAGGCAGTCCGTTTGGCTCATCCGGTAAGTATTAAGAATCAATGCACTTGTTTACTGCATTTTGCAAAGATCAAGCACGACACTTATGTATAATTAGTATTTGTGACCTCTATGTTAAGACATCACTTGTTTTTTCACCGTACCTCAGTAGTTTCAAGCATTTCTATGGTCCTTATCTATTGGGTTCATTTTGTGAGACTATTGCGTCATAAGTCGCTAGGCATTCGTATTTATTCAATGTACCGAGTTTAACTTTTCAATTCTTAGACTCTCCGTAGCACATCACGCACAACCGGCGTGATCCTATGTGTCAATTGCCACCTGGCATGAAGGCTTGCAAACACCTCCCCTCCTTTACCGTGATTTCCAAGCGTGAGTAGACACGGAAGAAAATTTTACTCCCTATATTGATGTTTTTTTCTCTTTTTTCAATTTTGTGTTGCTTCTTGGGTTTTAAGCTGGGTCTAGGAATTGAATATCGAGGGAATCCTTTTGATGTTTCGCTTTATTTTTTCAGTTTCTTTTTTTCTCAGTTTAATTTCATTTATTTTTTTGTTTAGTTCTTTTTTTTTGTTTAGTTTTGTATTTTATTCTTTTCTTGGAAATCTTGTTTAGCAACATTTTGTAAGATTATTTTTAGCTCCAGATAAGACTTTAGTAATATTTTATTTATAAGATGTTTAATAAATTATTTATTTCAATTACATACTAAAGATAGATTTCACTAAATTAGAATTAGATAAATGTTAAATAAAAATCCCAAATGAAAAAAATGAAGAGAAAACATAATAATAAACCGGAAAATAATAAAAAAGATTTTTTATTCTTTTATAAAAGATAAAATTTAATTTGGCTAGAAATAGATGAGTATTAAAGTAAAAAAGTGTAATCATTGCAGTAGAAGTGAGGCACTACAGATGTGATTTGAGTGAGATGGTGAGTTCAGTCGGCGATGATGTAACAGTGAGTGATTGCTGATTTGTAGTGAGCGATGGTAGAGTGCTACTAATAGCCTTAAAGTGTCAGATTGGAAATTTCTTTTCGACTTGATTTTACCGAAAGTTGAAATCTAAACATTGGTGTCTCCAATCTAGAAGTTTAATATTGAAGGTCAAATATAGGGCTATCAACGGATAGCTGAAAATCCGATTACCGTCTGTATTTGTATCCGTTTAAAAACGAAATATCCGTATCCTTTTTAAACGGATATTATTCGTATCCGATTAAAGATATCCGATTACTAAATGGATGCAGATTTAGTAATTGTATATCCGACCCGTTTAAAATCCCATCCGAATATGCATCCGTTTAAATAACTGTTTATCCAAATATCCGATCCGTTATATATAGTTTTTCCTAATTTTTTATGTTTATACTTTGTTTCTTTATTGATATTTCAAAGTATAAGACATTTTTATATACAAGATAAATGTGTAGACACATTTTGTTTCGCTTAAGGTACAAATCCAAAAAAACAAACACTAGAACACTAACTGCCAGGTTGGGTGGTATCCCCAAACGAGTTCCTCTAGTTTGGTTTATGGATCCCGTATGTACGTTTTTATCCAAGGCCACCGAATATACATTTTTATACCCGCAAGGCCCAATCTAATTTGAGGTCTATCTTAGAGGTCTTCGAGATAACCTTAACAATACAACGATTTTATGATCACCATTATATTCATTTTTAATCATGATTTAATTATCAATAATCATCCTAATCAGTAGGTTTATCATTCATAATCATCCATAATAATTATTCATCATAATGATCATATAACCTTTAATAACAAATAGCGGCCTAGTCTCGAGTGCATCACATAATGTTTTAATTTGTTAAAAACATCATTTTATTGTGAAAATTCATTTTTATAATAATCATAATCAATTGGTCTCAAAAATAAGATTTTAGAGCTCAAAAATAGCATTTTCAGACAAATTTTCGGATCAGATTTTTGGAGGATCGATCCAGCCCTCTGGATCGATCCATATGTATAGAAAATAGTCCCAGCGGATCGATCCAGGCCATTGGATCGATCCAGATAGTGCTAGTTTTGGGTTACTATTCGTCTTTTTCAACCTTTGGTCCATTTTTCGGAAATACCATTTTTCGTCACCGAACTTCAATTAAACTTTGTAGAAATGTTCTCCAAAGTTTGTAGATCATTTTAAAATTATTAAAACATATTTTAAACATCAAATTCAAGGTTTATGATTCTTGGTTCTTCAAACATGTCAAACACAAAACTCAACCAAATGACCATTTATGAACGTAGAAAGGACCTATATGAACATTCTAGTCATTAGATATATCTACGGGCTTACCTCGAAGTGTAATGGAGGTTTTGAAGATTTTCCGGCGAAGATTGTGGCTATCTCCGGCGACGGGGAGCTCTCTTGACAGCACTACCTCACTCTCTACACTCTCAGTTATCTCTTGGAAGAAGAATGGTGAAAAATGGTGAAGTTTAGAGAGGTTTATATAGTGGAGTGGAGAGGAAGAAGACACAGGTTTGGTGCTATCCATTTCCCTGTTCTGGCGTCTCGGTGGAGGGAGCGGCGATTGCTAGGATTCCAGACGCAAGTCCCTGATTGGGACTAATTTGGTCCCAATCGGGGAACACTTTTTGGTCCAACTTTCCCCAAATTGAAATCCGATTGAATCGTTGGAATCAGACAGTTAAACTCTACATAACGATATAATTTTTATTATTTATTGATAAACTTTAAAATTCACATATTTTTGGGTCCTCAGTAATTAATTAATTATCAATTAATTAATTCTGATACACCTATTTTCGGGGCGTTACAGACGGAGGTTATGACTGGTTGATAGGGGAGAGACAGAAACCTAATTTGACCGGCTTTGCTTGGATCATTTCAACTATTCCCAAACACTAGTTTGTTTTGTGGTTAATCTATAAAAACATATTACAACGATTGATGAAAAATGGTTGGATTAATCTCGATTTTTTAAACGGTGTACAAGAGTTTTTGAAAGTTGCATTTGCCAATAATGAAGATATGGTAAAATGTCCCTGTAAGAAATGTGGGTTAAGATATTTTCGGGGTTCTATATCTCAACATTGTGTTTTGTGTTTTTTAACACACGAATGCAGGAAGAGGTTTGCATAGGGCTAAAATGGCCAAGGAAAAAGCAGCACACCAAACATTTGAAGCAAAACGTCTTATTACCCCAAAGCTAGCCACACCTGATCCGATGACTTATGCTACAGTACCACCAAGTCGAACTAAGAGCATGGACAATGACAAGTAAGAGGATATGCAATGGCATGGCAAACCATTGCATTGCCCTGTCATTAATGGAGTGGAAGATGATACAGTGAGTGAGGACAAAATTGACATGCATGACATAGCGCGAGGCACCCCTATTTGCGAGGCAGGCACAAGGCAAAATTAAATCACGTATCAAATTTTTAATTCCTTTTTCTTTCTTGTTACAGAGTTTTTTTTTTTGTTTTTTCGTAACCCTCCAATCCACTTTTATGTATGAAAAAATGTTGGATGAGAAAGAAGAAAAAGCTAGCCAACTAACATGCCATGAAAAGTGGAATGGAGGGTTACGAAAAAAAAAAACTCTCTGTCCCAAAGAATAAAGGAGGCATGGCTGTAGGCATCAAAGACGTGCACATTAACCTTAAACCTGTTCGTTATAGCAATAGTATTACCTTCAATTTGCAGTACATTTTCAAAGAATATACAATGTACTTGCTAGAAAAAGTAAGTTAACTTACTTGTAAACTCCATGTGGCATCGTAAGATCACATCCAGAACATTTAAATTGGGAATTGTCGGGTATGACCTTCTTGTTGCATTCGGTGCACCCCAAGTAACACAAATTAGGTGTATTTTCAAGACAAGAAAGCTCGCCTAGAATCCAATACGTCCCGGGCTATTTATTTATATATAAATGAATTTAAAATCCTTTTCGAAATGGGTAGTATTCACATACTCTCTCGGTAAGATTGAAATGGGCATAATTTAAATGGCTAGAAGTGAAAATTTAACCTTTGTTGTGTCAATTAGAGTCTACAAAGTGGTGATTTAATTTTCAAAGATTCGTTTTCATCTTCATTTCCACAAACCATCACCAAAGTGTTAATGCTACTCACATCGTCAACTTGTAACGGTAAGCTTAAAAAAATTGTATAAACAATATTTTTCGAAATAAAGCCGACTCATAAGTAATATAAAGGGCAGTTTAGTATCGCACCTAGCTCGAGATAGATTAACTTCATCAGAGTTTACATCGAAAATCATCTTTGTGACATGAAAAGAAGTTAAAACAATCACTGAACCTATCCTGTCATTTCAATTAGTCATGAATATATTCAATCTTGATTAATAATGAAACGTAAATAAAAAGAAAAATGTATAATATTTAAATCTTAACCATGTATTGCTTAGGCCAACAGAAGCTAAGAAGTAATATAAAAGGTCCCGGAACATTTTGGGTCAAACAATTCAAGAACTTCTCCACATATTCTCCCCATAATGTGCAAGCCAAGCAGTTGCCTCTGCAATTTTTTTCGTTAACTTAATATTTTCTAAACATTAGCTCTTAGGTTTCATTTATAAATAAGTTCTCATACTCATGATCCTCAAGTGTTATCTCCATTAGCTTCTCTTCTCCACCTCTTTTTATGTGTGTGTTTGAACTTTTGATCGCCCAACAATTTTTCCTATCACATCTGCACCAATCGAGAAAACTTATATTTTTGGCTCAAAATACTGAAGGTATGTAAACTTTGAATGCGCACTTTGCGAAAGTGAATTAACAAAATTTTTATACTGATGAGAAGTTGATCGTTTAAAACAGGACTGAGCTTGAATGCTCGAGAATGATTTTAAGTCAAACTTGATTTTGGGAAAGTCCTTTTCACTTAGCGTCTTGACTTCAGTCTTTTCATAAAAATTCAACAAAGATTGCATGAAAGGTAATTTTCATGAACAAAAACATTTCAAATTCCAAAAACGCCATCTTCCACGATTTGGGTTTCAAAACGTTTCTTTTCTGGTTTTTTAATATGAGCATGAATCCTCGTCCCTTGTAAAAAACGAAAAGAATTAGAAATGAGTTTCCTAATTATGTAAATATTGTGAAATACACAGTATTAAGAAATTACGTGTTCGTCATGGAAGATGACTTCCATGGAATCACCTCCCTTAGCCCAAGCCGAAATGTTGTAAACACGTATAGCTCGTAACTTTAGCATCCATGCCGTGCGACTGTTATCAATATTGTCAATAAAGTTCCACATTTTGGTTTGTGGTTTTTTGGACATCTTCGTATGTGATTTAGTAACACAATTCGTTGGATGTGGGTGTTGGAGTAAATGTGAATTGCTTCATATAAATACGTGAGTTTGGAGTGGGAAGAATCTATTGCATTAAATGGCCAAGTACTCTAAAGATTTGTTCAATCTAAAGTATTAAATGACACAAAGTAAATTAAAACCTAAAAAAGTAGTAAAAGCTTTTTTAATTACCGTGCACACGGTGCCCCAAAAAGTAAGTTTCATCATTGGCATCAAAACTGAAAAAGTAGCCCAATACCACCTAGCCTATTATCGTGCACACGCCGCCCAAAGTAATAGGTTTCATCATTAGCCTCCAAACCGAAAAAGTAGTCCAATATTACCCAGCCCTTTATCAGTGACCCGGCCCAATAAATTTTGGCGGAAACACTATTCATTTTAGCCTCCTACCATTGTATATATAGAGATTTGAAGCCTTGAAATATAAAGCCTAAAAAGTGAAATCTAAAAACTAAGTCCAAAGTGACTAGAGTAAAGATTTAAAAAAGAAAACATGCCCTTAGAACGGAGTTTGGAGGCAATAAAATGCATTTCTTTAAATAAATTATATAACTATGAGCATTTCGATAAGAATGAAGAAAACTATTTAGAGAAATCACTCTGGGCTTGTGCTCTGCTTATTTTGGTATTAGAAAAATCTCCCTATCATATGTTGAGTGCTTCTATGGTGCACCTTAGATGCATATTTTTTGGGGACTTTTTAACATAAAAATCCTTTGTTTATTTTTTTTTAAAAAAAGGGATGCTTATATAAGTAATAAGAAAATACTTATTTTGCTCAGATATAGATCTATGGTGGACCTTACGTCCACCATGAAATTTGCCTCGCGATATTTCCTTAATGTTTATTCAAAAAACAATTTAGACTTATTAAGTTACATTAAAGTATCTATTAATATGCCTTGAATCTGTATTGTGTTGCCACTACGCAGATAAGTAAACCCAGCCAGATGATGTCTTATGGATGGTAGTGAGAGGACTCTTAGTACCTGCATACCCAAAAGAGGGTGCTGGTTAAAAAAAATCCTTTTATTTCTTGCTTTCCCTTAGCAGCGAGAAAGGAGTCTATATATCTGCTTAGCTTTGGTAGATTTCCCCCCAATGCAATCCATAGAAATTTAACGAATCCCTTGGTGGATAAGTCCGACGACTCAGTAGCTGCTTGGGGGTCCGATGGGCAGAGTCACCCCCGGCCTGACGGTATGCTATGTTGTTGTATTGGGCTCTAAATATTGTATTGGGTCTAGCCCATTTTGTGTGACTATTTATATAGAGGTAGGGTACAAGAACTCGGTATTCTGGAACCTCTGTTATAATAGAATTAGCCTCCGTTCTTGCCTATAGACGTAGCCAACACAACGTTGGTGAACCACGTTAAATCTGTGTGTCTTTACGTCTTCTGTTTACTTTGATTACTCAATTAATCTATTTCGTAATAACAGTATCACTACTTTGAAATAACAATTGCAAAGTTGAATACCTTAATTCCCAATAGACAAACAATAACTCTCATTGACTTGGTAAACACGTCATTCTATTTTCGTAGAGTATAAATTAAATTTAAAATGTTAAAATGAATCATTGTCATCAAGTAATCTTTTGAAAATATTACTCCGTAAAACTAAACAGTGAAAATACTGGTTTTACAGACACTTAATGGAGCAAATTGAAGGTTACAAGTGGTCCAAGTAACCACTTACCCTTTTCAGAAACTTAAGATAGATCTTTGTCCAAGTGACCCTAACTTTGATAACATCCTTAGGCTAGTGGTATGGTTTTTCTCTTCCATTTTGTCAACTCAGTGTTGCATTAACTTTCCCTTTTACTCTTTCTTCTCATCGTCTTTCAAAGATGTGGTTCTCTTTCTCTTCCCCTTCCATTTTTTAATACTAAAAGCAGCAAAGAAGGGAAAAAGAGAAGGAAAAAAAAGTAAAAAAGCAATAGGAGGACCACCATGGCGGTCCCCTCCGTCCCGCATGAGGGGGTAATGTTCCCACCTTCCCGCCGGCATCTTTTTGGACGTCCGGCGGGATACGTACTCCAAGGCCTTAACAGAACAAAGTCACACAATCTAGTGGTACTTATTGACTTATTATTACTCGAATAATAAATAATTTTTAACTAATAAGATATTTAAAAGCCAAATATTGTTTTCATGAAAGTAAAATGACTTAAATAATAAACAAATTGTTTAGAAATATTCATAAAAGATGACTTAAAACTAAATAGGTAATATTTATTTATTTTTTCCAACTTATAAAACAACTTATAAATACAGAAAAACATATCACCAACTAACTTTTAAATTAAAAATTGCTTATAATAAATTTTGACCCACATAAACATGATAAACATGGAGAAACATCCACCTATTATCTTCTTAACTTCTGCGTTTATCTGGAAGTAAAAAAAACATTAAATCTGTCCTTGAAGACCTTCTTTATAGTCCGGAGTAGCAATTAAAAAGGCAAAGACACAAGGCCTACACAAAAAAAACAATACATCAATGGGTATAAATAAACAAAAACTCCAAGTCCCTATGCATTCATACTTAGGTAATGGAAAAAAAAGGACAGATTCCATGCAAAACTCCCACTACTCATTCTCCAGTGTAACCCCAGAGGGTAGCTCAAATCTGTTTGTGCTGCTACTATAATCAGCAGCGACAACATTCTCGCTGACACCATCCATAGCGGAGTTGCTCTTGACATAATCCACCTTGAAATCATAATCGTTGCAATCCATTTCCGCGGAGTTCTTGTCTTTTTTCCTCCTCTTTTTCTCGGCTCTTCTCAATTTGGGATTAAGCATACCCTCCACATCGTATAGCTTCTCGTTTTGCTTCCTATTGTCGCTTTTGGCACCTCCCTTCTCTTCTTCTCCTTCTTCCTTCTCCAACCCCATGGCTTCATCGTCTCCCTTTACATCTTCAGTTCTGGGAGGTGGTGGTTGTGGTTTGTCCTGTCATGAGTTTCCACAACATCTTTTCAGCATCATATGGTTTCTTTCGGTTGAATTAAAAATATCATATTATGTAGATAATCAACACGGGTATGAAGATGGGTCCCGCCATAAAGGTGTGGTTGGGCAAACCTTACCTTGCATTTTTGCAAAGGACTGTAATAATACCAAAACAACAAATAGCAGAAAATGGTAAAGAAACAATACCTCAAGCATGTTCTCATCAAAGTTAACCGGGCAGTTGGATGGGACCTCAACTAGGTTCAGCTCATTAACAGACTTGAGGCTGCCAATGAACGATGATTCCTTGCCATAAACTTCATCTACGTTGAATTCTTTCCCAAATTCTGAAACAATTCTCACTTCTGAATGCTCAACATCATTCCGCTGTGGGGGCATTGTAAAGTAAGGAATCTTACCTGACATGATTCAAAATTGTTATGCAAACATGAACATATATCATCTTATTCTTTTTTATTGGCACCTTTATGGAATTCAATTTATCGTGCCAATTAATTGTATAAAATTATGTAAGATTAAGTTCATGCAAAATCCAAAATCCGACAGAACATACCCACATTCCAGTCATGCAGAACTATCCGAGCTGCTGCATCAATGTCAACAATGCCGCCTTTTTTAAGTCTACCCCTTACGGTGGCAACCTGACAAAGAAAATCATCTGCTGTGTCGAAGTCAGGAATCTTGTACAACGTTACCAGCGATGAAGCGGGACAACGTTTGAGAATCTCCTTGACTGCAAAAATTCATAAAACGGGTGTCTAGAAATTTATTGCAGGATTTGCAGAAAGAAAAGGTTGATCCTGCTTGCAAAAACAGAAACCCATGATCAAATACCTGGACCAATTGGGTCATCTAACTTCTCTATTCTCTTGCAGTTACGAAGAGCAATAGATGCATCATTCTCGCTTGATCTAAGCATAACAACACCAGGGCAGTCTAATAGTTTGACATTCTTGTCTAGATGGACTTCTTGCATTGATCTTGTTAACCCTGGTGTAGAGCCAACATTGACGACATGCGATCTCTTCAAGCTATTAATCAAACTACTTTTTCCGACATTGGGTAAACCAATAATCCCCACTGTGATGGATTTTTTTATCTGCAGCAAGAACAAAACATATTTAATTTAGGACACTTAACGCGTATAACTGACACAACAAATTTATGCATGAAGTGAATAAAGGACCCACGCTGCTCCTAATTCTACCATCTTAGAGAAAGAAAATAATTTTTTTTAAATTGCAGCAATAGTTCATATTTGAAATCAAACTTTAAATCCTAGGGAGCATTTGACGAACTTAACATAAAAATGTGGAGAACTCAATAAAAATATATACTTCGTGGCTTCTTGAGTAATTTTTAAGCAGACTTAGAAGTGTTTCTGCACCAAGACAATCACTTGTCTGAAATTGATTGACAGTCTTTTTTTTAGCCTTTGAAGATTTCCAGCTCAAGTTTGACTTCTGCTCTTGAGTGTTACATTTGAAAGCAACTGCTGGGAATTCCTCTCGGAGATACTTTAGCCACTTTTCAACAGCTTCCCTAGGGACTAGATCTGAAAAGGAAACAAGATTACCTTGGCCATTAAATTAAGAAAATTTAATCACTCAAAAAAACCATACAATGAAATCATTGTTTCTAGTTCCATTAATAGATTCAAATTACTTGTTAGCTAGGAATACAAGGATGGCATCTGTAACAATAATACAACTTTAACAACCAACAAATCTTGACAATCTATCGTAAAGAACTCAAATGAGTGAGCTGAAAAAACAACAGGGAAGAAATGATAGAGACAGCTAGAAGAAGGAAAGCATACCAATTTTATTAAGGAGCAATATAAGACGTTTGTCAGGTCCTGATCTCATAACCATATTTTCCATGTCCATGCAACGGGTACCAAGTGGATCCCTAGCATCAAGGACTTCCAAAATAACGTCAGAAGCTTCAATAACTTTGACTAGTTCCTTGTAGAAAGCCCGATCCGAGTTATCTGAAAAAAATTTCGAAGAAAGAAAAGGGAAAAATGCAGAGCCAACCAATTAGGAAATGGCAAAAAAAACTACAATTTCTCCAAAGCAAACCCACATGAAGTCACAGAATAGGAAAAGTGTAGAGTAGAAAGCTTTCTTGCATACCGTGATTTTTACCAACCACAGTTATACGACTATCCTCAATATTTTCACTAACATACTTCTGCTCTTTTGCAGAAGCCATGTCTGCAAGTTTTGACAAGTCATCGTCCTCAAGGAGGCCCAGCTTTCTCTTCTTAGCCTAGCAAAGTAATTAACAGGAGAATATATTATTAGCGGAACAAGATAAAAATATAATCTAGTTGAGAAAGATAAAGTGATAAATAAAACAACCACTCTGATAAGATACAGCTTGAGGAATGTTTTAAGAATGCCAATGGCTAAAAATAGATCATGATTCAAGGGTATCAAGTATGGAACACGTGACCTAGAAGTGTGAGAAAAATGTACCTGATAAAGACAGCACCCCAAAAAGAAAGAGGAAGAAAATTTTGGGACAATCCAAATAAGATAGTGAGAAGACGATTACGGGACGGAGCTAGAATAAAATTATATGCCGTAGTGGACGTACACAAAAGGGTCAAAAGTGGTGAAATATCAATTGAGTGCATCCCTAAAATACAATCAAAGCATAGAAAAAAAGGAAAAGTGTTCAACTTCTAACATGTTCCAAGACAATTAAAACCCAGTTAGTAGAAAATACATCAAATGCTCTTTAAAACAAGTGAGTAAACACTATGTTCCACTAAATTCCTAGGCTTGATATTTAATTTTTGCTGTGAATATAGTAAAAACTGGTTTTATGCTAAAGCAGACACTCTGTCCACAGTGAGAAAAATTTTGTGCAACATGTTAAATCTATAAGAATTTAATAAAAACTATAGGAATTATGTGAAAACAGTCAGTTTGTGCTGTGAATTTAGTTTTGGGAAGAGGGAGTAAAAACTACAACAAAAAACCAAGTATTTCAAAATTTCACAATAGAATAATCAGTACCCTCTCTTTGCGGGCAGCTTTCTTCTGTTCCAGTTCCTCTAGAGCTCGATTACGACGATCCTCAAGAGCCTTGAGCTCCTGTTCCTTGAAGGGCCAGTCATTGGGGATGCCGGGGTCCTTCTCAACCTTGGACTTACGATGGAGGCCCGCTTTCTTGGCTTCCTTAGCCTTCTTCCTGTGGTGCTCCTTCACCTTCCGTATGACCTTGTACTTGTTCTTCAGCGATGTTCTCTTGCTCTTACTCTCTGCATAGCAAGCGAGAAACCCCAAGATAATTCTGAAATCACACTCACTCAATTGTAGACAAAAAATAAATCAAAATTAAAGAGTAATAAAAGGAACAAAGATGGCTTACTCTTGCTTTTCTTCACCATTTTAGAGAGTGTTGAGAAGAAGATTGAATGAGCGGCGTCGGGAAGATTGGCGTGGGGAGCTCCAGACTTAGGGTTTAAAAGAAATTGGTGGAGTATGGTAAGGAGTAATTTTTATTAGGGTTAGAGCATCTCCCAAAATGGTTTGGTGCTATATTTTGACAAGCCTAAGTAAATTTTTATGAGGGACTTGTCAATTTTTAATAAGTTTGTTGAAAAATGAAAATGGCTTGTTACTAATAATAAGTTTGGTAAAATAGCAAGCCAAAAAAGAAGAAAAATATTGATTGGTTTAGTTTTTTTCATGTGCCATAGTACATTTGTTCCCTCACGTTCATCGCTAGAACGCATAAGAAAATTAAAGTATTACTTCGTATTTTATTTTTTTACAAACAAATATTTTACTTTTTTACAAAAAAAAATTACAAAAAAAGACTTTAGTTTTATACAAAGTATATAAAAATAGTATTTTATAATAAATTATTATTTTTAAATCGCATACTTACATAGTATTACTTAATTTTTATAAAATAAAATAATAAAATTTTAACATATTGTAAATAGTATACTATAATAGTGAAATGAATATATGGTATCTAAATTATAGCAAAGGAAGGTTGGAGATAACAATGCAAAATGGCTAGCTATATTATTATTTATACACACTAAAAAGTGACTTTAGATAAAGCCTGCTTTCTCTCTCTAGACATGGCAAGGAGAGGTAGGCCGAGGACGAATCATCAATCTAACGGAGATCCAAGATCCGACCAGGTGATCAACGTGGTCGATACCACACAACATGTCAATCAATGAGAAGCGCAGAGAGATCTTGAACCAAGCACAAATCTAGAGGAAATAACCATTAATCTAGAAGGGGTTGCCGCTGAACAGAAGAAATCATATGCGGAGGTTGTAGGTAACTATGATCTGGTACATTGTTCTCTATCATATATTGAAGCGGGGGAAATGAATGGGATTAAAATTCTGAAACTGTCTAATGAGGATATTATTGATGAAGGTAAATATTGGGATGCAACTGCTCTGGTCTGTGTTCTGTGAGCTAACCCGCCCCTATCAGTGTTGGAAGGTTTCATTGGGAGAATCTGGAAAGCATACCAGATAGAGGATGTTAGTTTCCTAAAACCATGGCAATATGTGGTCTGATTTCAAACAGAGGAGGAAAGGGATGAAGTAGTAGACAAAAGATTCTACCATTTTGATAACAAGCCAGTGTATGTTAGAAAGTGCAAACCAGGATGTTCAGTTAATCTGAATGAGCTTGAAGATGTTCCAATATGGATTCAATTCCACAGCTAGAGGTGAAATATTGGAGTATGATTGGCCTTAGCATACTTGGGAGTTTATTGGGAAAACCATTGAGAATAGATATGGCTACTCTAAAGAGAACAAAGATGGAGTTTGCAAGGCTAATGATATCAATCAAGATAAAGCATGAATTTCTAGAGTCTATTTTATTCCAGGATGAAAATGGTAGACTAATTACTCAACCTATCAAATATGAGTGGTGTCCGGTACATTGCCCTACATGTAGAGGTGGCAATCGGGTCAACCGGATGAGTTTCGGGTTGGATTTTTTGGGTTTGGATATCTTTCGGTTATATGTTATAATCGATTCGGATCGGATCGATTAAATTTCGGTTTGGATTTGATTCGGTTCTATACATTTTTTTGGTTCGGTTCGATTTCGAGTCGGTTCAGATACGGTTCGGTTATAAATTGGTTCGGATAGATTTTGGTTTCGGATACAATTTGAGTCGGATATATTTCGGTTTCGGGTCTAGTTCAGTTCGGATATATTTCGGTTTCAGATCAAATATATTTTGGATATATTTTAATTTTCTAATTCAAATTTAACTATCCATGTTTCTTTTTATGTTTTATCACATTTATCAATCTATCATCAATTCAATACCTCATATTATTTTATATTTTTTTCTAATTATATTATATCTACCCTAAATAATCTTCCCTTTTTGACTTTTTAGTCATATTTTACAAATTTGGACTACAAATTATGAAAACATATATATTTAATTATGATATAAATTTAATATAATTAAATTGATTCTAAAATTTAGTTTTGAAATATCAAAATTTTCTCACATCTACTAATATACTTATGTTTATAAATGAAAAGATAAAAGATAAATTTAAATAGTGTTATGTTCCATTTGAATACAATTTGGTAAAAATTGAGTGAAATTAAGTGAATTTTATTCAATTCAGTGCAAAATTTATAAATTATTGAGTGTATTTGGTTGAAAATAGATAAAATTAAATTTAATAGAGTCAAATATAATTAATTTTACACCTAAATGTAATGGTGCAGATCAAATTTAAAAATGATAACACTAAATGCTTCCGCTAGAGAGTCTTTTCAAAATGCTAACACTAGCATCTAATTTTATTGCCTAATAGTGAGTGAATTGGTTTGAAACTAATCAAATTAACTCTCAAATCAATAAAGTTTATTGTAATGGGATGAAATTAGTATAAAATCTAGCTATTCCATACAATTCATCATATAATCTTTTCGTCCCAAAAAGAATACCACACTTCACTATTTAAAAATTACACAAATTTTATTTTTTTGTGCATTATCATTTATATGTATAACTTATCTTTAATTTCTACATATAATAAATTTAAGGCATGAAATTTTATATTTTTTTTCAAAAAAATAATCCATTTTATGAGGGAATGAGCAAGTAATGTAATTAGTTCAAATGGTAAAATAAAAGTACAAATTTAAAATATAATATGCTTATAGAAAGGCAAACATAGTTTCGAATTATCGATTTTAGTTCTAATCGGGTTCGGATATTATCGGTTTCAGATCTAATCAGTTTCGGGTTTTATCGATTTCGGGTATTATCAGTTTCAGATCTAATCGGTTCAGATATTATCGGTTTCGGATTTAAATCAGATATGAATTATTTAGTTCGGTTTCGGTTCGATTCAGATCATTTCGAGGTTTTGGTTATTTCGGTTTCGGTTTCGGATATTTTGGTTCGGGTAATCGGTTCTAGTTCTGTTTTGCCAGGCCTACCTATATGTGATGGGATTGGACATAGGGCACATGAATGTAGACGAAAAGAAGGTCAAGGGAAGAACAAGATGAGAATGGTATGGGAGCCCTAGAATACACAACCCAAAAAAATAGAAGGGAAAAAGGAGCAGATGGGGGATGGTAGTGGAAAAGAGGACCCCAATATGGAGACACCTTCTAATCATAGTACAATGGAAAAGCAAGAGTTTCACTGTGATGGGTTCATTGAGGTTAACAGAAGGAAGAAAGTCAAGAAGTCTTTACTGCCTGAAAGAAGCAATATACTGCACCATGGTTTGCTGTTACATACAGACTTGTTCAAAGGGCCCTATAAGGGTCATTTACCCTTCTTAAAATGGTAAGACGATGGAATATAAGGGGCCTGAATGGGCCTTTAAAGCAAGAAAAAGTGAAGAAATTAATCAATAAGTATGACATTAAGTTGTTGGGCTTAATGGAAACCAAAATAAAGGAGGCTAGAGTAGCTGAGATTGAAAGGAATCTCTTCCAAGGTTGGGGCTCTTTCATAAATAATAAGGACTATCCAAATGACAGATTATGGATGGTATGGAATAAAAGTGAAATGATGGTAGAGATAATTAACTCAACTAATCAGATTGTCCACTACAAGGTAACAGAGAGAAGAGGGAACAAGAACTTCTATATTACTTTCATCTATGGTCATAATGACCGAAGTAATAGAAAACACTTATGGGCTGCCCTAGTTAATTATGCTGCAAATATTAAGGGTGCTTGGTGTATTATGAGAGATTTCAATTCTGTTCTAAAAATGAATGAAAGGGTTAGAGGCAACAGTATCTCTTTTGAAGAAATCAAAGACTTCAAGAACTGTATTAATCAGTATGGATTGGAGGAGGTACCTTCTAATGGATCATTCTACACATGGTCCAATAAACAATCATTAGGCCATATGATTTATTCTAAGCTGGATAGGGTTTTGTCCAATATGGAATGGTTTATGACATATGGAACTAAGGTTCTCATCTTAGAGGAAGGGATTTTAGATCACTGTCCAATTCTTTTTCCACCTCCTCATATTCAAATAAGGAAAAATGGCTTCAAGTACTGTGACATGTGGAGGCTGGACCCTAACTTCCAAGGAAGTGTTAAGAGTGTTTGTGAAGAGGAGGTGGAAGGCAAGAAAATGTCTCAACTTGTGCAGAAGTTAAAGACACTGAAAAGACCCCTAAAGAAACTTAACACAGACAAGTTTATGCATATTAATCAACAGGTTGACATTTCGAGGATGGAACTGCATGAAATCCAGGAGTTGAAGGATAATAATCATGATGCAGCTCTTATTATCAAAGGAGAATGCCCTTACTAAGGAATACCATTTAAAAGTGAAAGCGTTGTTACTTATGAGGAAACAACAGGTCAAGATGGAGGATTTCTAAAAGTGACCAGGGCACCAAACTGTTCCATGATTGGGTTAAAAAGAGGGGGATACAAAATAATATTATTTTCATAAAGAATCCAAAAGGGGAGATAATTAATGATACTGCAGGGGTAGCTGATGTGTTACTAGAATACTACCAAAAGTTACTAGGAACTGAGGTAGAGGTGGAGAGAATTAATCAAAGGGTGATGCAGCTTGGAAGGGCTCTCTCAATGGAACAACAATTGGACCTTATTCAACCCAAGAACGTAAGGTGCCCTTTCAGGGTAAAACGAGATATTGTCCTAATACTAAAAGCCTAGGGCCAGATGGATATACAAACAAGTGGGTTTTTCAAGAGCCAGTGGAAGATGGTGGGGGGGGGGGGGGTTACTTAGTGAGGCAGTGTTTGATTTCTTTAGAGAGGGTATAACTCTCAAACAAATCAACAACACAAAAATAGTCCTCATTATTAAAGTGGAGAGTCCTCAAGAAGCAAGGAATTATAAGCCAATATCATGCTGTAATATGGTCTATAAGATCATATCTAAGCTTATTTGTTTCAGGCTAAAAAGGTACTGCCAAAGATCATAAATCAAAACTAGGGTGCATTTGTGGAGGGGAGAGAACTAATTCATAATGTCCTTCTTTGTCAAGAGATGGCTAAAGGGTATAACAGAGTTGGGATATCTGCTCGATGCATGATGAAACTTGATATAACCTAAGCTTATGACTCTGTAAGTTGGAAATCATTAGAACAAATCCTTATATCTCTAAAACTCCCTGGGCAGTTTGTTAAATGGATATTGTTTTGTGTGACTACTTCTACTTATACACTTTGATAAATGGGGAAAATACAGGTTTCTATAAGGGTAGGAGAGGCCTTAGCTAGGCAAGGAGATCCCATTTCATCCCTGCTGTTTGTCTTAATCATGGAGTACCTTTCTAGAAGTTTGGAGCATATTGTGAAAGAAAATGCACTTAGATACCATCTAGGGTGCAAGGAACTTAAAATTGTGAACGTATGCTTTGCGGATGATCTAATCATACTCTATAGAGCTGATGAAAAGTCAATTGGATGTGTTATGAAGGCTATTAAACTTCTAGAGAAAACAACAGGCTTATCAATTAACTTGAGTAAGTCACAAATTTTATTGGCTAGAGTGAAGCAAATGGATAAACTCAGGCTATTGAGACTTATAAATATTCCTGAAGGAAAGCTACCATTCACATATCTAGGATGTCAAATTTCATCTAGTAGACTGTCATCAACTAATTGTGATGTGTTTGTGGAAAAATTGTCTGCTATAATCACAAGTTGGAAGTCCAAAAACTTGTCTTATGCTGGTAGGGCAAGGTTAATATCTTCAGTACTGATGGGGATTATTAACGTTTGGGCTGGAAAGGTTATGAAGTGTGTCCAAGCTTTGTGTAGGAACTACTTGTGGGGGGGGGGGGGGNGGGGGCTGAGGAGAAGTATTAGAAGGTTCCACTCATAAGCTAGGAGGCGACCTGCAAACCTAAAGATAGAGGAGGGCTTGGTTTTAAAAACCTGAAATGTGGAATAAGGCACTAATCATGAAATTGAACTGGGATCTAGCAAAGAAGAAAGACAACTTATGGGTAAGGTGGATACATTCTAAATATATTAAGGATGGGGATTACTGGAGTTACTCCCCTAAACATGATGCTTGTTATTATTGGAGGAAAATGGTTAAGGTGAGGCAAGAGTTTGCAAGTATGCCACTTAGGGGAGAGTATAAAACTGAAGAGGGGTATTCATGGCTTATGGGTCAGCTTCCAAAAGATGAATGGTTTGACATTGTATGGAACATGTGGACAATTCCAAAACACAGACTGTACGTATGGATGCTAATGAAGGGAAGGCTCCAAACTAAGCAACGGCTGTGCAGATTCCTACCAATTGATAATAGGTGTGTGTTGTGTGATAATGGAGTAGAAGACATTGAGCATCTGTTCTGGAAATGTGAGTATGAAAGAAACCTATATGGGAGTGTCATGCCTAGCCTGGGCTGTGGGCTAGGAGGGGATTCCCCGCAGTAATTCTTTGTGCAGTACCTAAGGAAGGGAAATAAAAAACAGAGGTTGATACGGAGAGCAGCTTGGACAACCATTTGTTATTCAATTTGGAGGGCTAGGAACAAGAATATATATGAAAAAAGAGGATCAAAGTAGATGAAAATACGTCCTATATATGTGATGGGATTAACCCGATCAGATGGCGGACTAAGAACGTAATATGGATCAGAAAGATATAATTACTCGATGATATTCTTTGATTAAGTATGGAATTGCTTGAGTTGTCCCCCTCTATAATGAAAGGTTCTCCCCCTTTTATAGTACTTCTAATATTGCAATTAAAATTATACAAAATGGGAGAAATTCTGGAGATCATGGGGTTGTGATCCCCTCTTTTTCGGTCTCATTATCTTCCCATCTTGTCCATAACTTAATGATGTGGGCCACGTGTCCCATTCCTTTCTTGGACGGGGTCACCTTGATTTAATCCATGATTGGGTCGTCTTTTTCCATTGCCACACGCGTGGTATCGGGCTCGGCCCGTTACCCCCACCTGGCCTTATACGTCTCGCGCTGTTATGGGCCTTCATTGGGCCTGGAGTCGGGTCCATCAGACCCGATATCCATCACAAGCCCCCTAGTTTTCTAGTGACGTGTCGCTAGAAAACTAATGATGAGCCGCCTTCGGTTTTCGTATCGGACTAGAAACGTCGCACTCGAGTACCCTGGGTCCATCCTTTCAACGGATATAACCCCTTCTGGTTTCGTCTTCTTCCTCCTTCGCTACCAAATCTTAACCCGACCCGAATTCCGACTGCAATTTTCCCCCAAATTTTCACTCCCTTCTCCGAAATGGCTCCTGCAAATCCTGAAACCTGGACCCACGAACCCTCTATCATTAAGGAGGATGAACTTCGAGAAATGGCTGTGCTTCTAAGCGAGGGCTTCTGGGTCCACCATCCCAATGCCGTCGGGGAGATTAGTTTATCCTACAATCCAAACCCCTAGAAGTATATGGTCATGCAATATCACTCTGTGGAGAATGGGTTCAGATTACCCCTCCGTGGTTTGCTCCGCAACCTCTGCCGTCATTTCGGATTTGCTCCTGGTCAGTTGACTGCCAATGCGCACAAGTATGTCGCCTCCTACATCTTGCGGTGCTGTGCTCTGGACAGAACCCCAACATTGGACGAATTCCTCATCCTCTTCATTATTGGCGGGTCTTTTCCTTTTTACAGCCTGTATCCCCATTCTCATGCCCCAATTTTTGAGAGGGTTGAGTTTAAGAATGACAAATGGTCCCAGCGATACTTCGTCATTGAGTTCCCAGCTCACAGTCCCTTAGATCTGTGGGGTGTTGTTCTTCGTAGTTCCATCTCCGGACGAAGTTCGCTACGGCACACTCGGCGGAGGAAGTGTACAATGTCTTGGGAGACAAAGGGGGTTTAATTCCACATCACTCCCTTCAAGACGCCAGGTTATACCAGAAGGCGGATTTTTACTATCCCCTGGGCCTGACCCTGTTCCATTTGAAGGGGGGGTCTTCTCTTGAAAGGTCAAAGGCTCCTCCCGCTTTGGAATCCGGTCTAGCCGGGAGCTCCTCCGGGGTCCAAACCCTAGGTAACTTCACTGCTTTGGCCATCCGCAAGCCGACTGTTTCCCTGGAGGCTGTCCCCATTTCTGCTATCCCTGGGCTGAGGAGGCCCACTCCGTCCCAGAAACGGCCACGAGAAAGGGTCACAGATGATGACTTCCTTCCCAAGAAGAGTAAGGGTGATGGTACTCCTGCTTCGCCCAGCCCCCTGTCTACTTCTTTAGGTACTCAGAATACCACCCTCGCTGCTGCACCCAGAGGTTTAGAGCTACCCCACCTGGATAGCTTGGACCATGAGGCAGATGAACTTCCAGACCAAGCACCACTCAAAAAACCAGCGGCGCAGCCTCAGCATGAGGTAAACAATACCTCCCCACAAACTGCAACTGCTCCCCAAGAAGTGGAGGAAGAAGTTGAGGGGCAGAAAGAACCAAAGATTACTTCTGCGACATAGAAGGAGGTTGACGTGCAGACGGAACCGGAAACTCCCCCTTGAAAGAGAATGAGGTTGAAAAGAAGAGGGATACGGGAGCTCCCCCAGAAATGGAAAGAGAGCCCGAGAAACAATCAGAGCCGGAGGGACAGTGTTCTACTGCCACACCTCCAGCCCTCAATGTCCCCATCCGGTGTAAGTTCACACCATAAACTTATCCCGCTTTCAAGGGACAATGGGCTGGGTTCTCTCGCGGTTTGATCTCCATGCAGGCCTCCCATTGGACCATTCAAGCAAATATGGAGAAGATGAAGGAGTCGTTAAAGGAGACCACAATCCCTCAGGCTCGTCCCGACCTACTTGCTCTCAATGCTCTTTACTCCATGGAGCAGGTATTCTTCCTTTTCAAGAATCTCTTTATCTCTTTTTAGTTATCTCTTCCTTGACTTCCCTTCCCCTCCCTAGGCCCAACAATCACTCCTCACCCTCACTGAGGAGTACCTGGGTGGAGCATTAGGGAACTACCGGGCCGTGGTGGCCCTGAAGGAGAAGGAGTTGGCAGCGAGGGCTTTGCAACAGAAAGTTGATTCTCTGGAGCAACAAGTTCAGGCCCTTCAAGAAGAGGATGCCCGGCTTAAGGAAAATGGCTCTATGGAACTAGCAGCTGAAAGATCCAGAGTCAAGTCCCTGCAAGAGCAAATTGTTGCTTACCAAAGGGGGACTCAAGATCTGGAAACGCAGTTCGACAGACTCCAGGCACAAATCTCTACTCTGGAATCAAAGGCTTCAGCTTCAGAAGACAAGGTGGGAAGTCTGAAAGCTGAGTTGGTTGAAAGGGAATCCCGGATTTCTGAGCTGGAGAGTTCCCTCCAGGAGGCCAAGTATGAGGGTTCCCGTCTTAACGAACTCGCGTTGAAGCACATGGAGGCGAGATGGCTTACCCTCGAGAAGTTGGGGAAATAGAGACAGACTGCTAGTGAGCTCCAGTCAAGGATGAGTGAACTCGAGAAGGCAATTGCCGCCCACCAAGAGGAGGTTACCACCCTGACTGCCCGTGCTGAAGCCCTTTATGAAGAAGGGAAATTTGACATGAAACACTGCATTTATGAGGCGATCCGAATTGGTCTTCCAGCTCACCAATCCTTGGATGATTTCGTCTCATACTATGGGTTACCTCTCCCTCTTTCTCCCCCAGGTTCTCGTCTGGACCCGGGGCCTTGACTTTCCTTTTCTTCACTAACTATTGTATTTTTGCTTTGTTACATTTAAATGGTAGTAACTTGACAATACTTGATGTATTTCCGTCCTCATAGACTCCTTTCATTAAGCTCACTATTCTCCTTTTGGGATTCTTATCTCTCCTTAGGACTTAGCAGATTTTTTTATCCGCCTAGGCTTTGGGATTTACCATGCTTATAAAGTCTTGTTTTTCCTTCATCATTGCGCTAAGTGATTGGCCCACCTTAATTACGCCGGGCCGAATTCATCTTAGCCCAATAATGAAATGGTGTAACCCTAGCTATCCTCGGGAATCCGCAACTGCTTTCCAATCGGATAAGTGCTTTGACTCCGCGTCCCTTGCACTCTTCCTTTGGGATTACTCGCCTATTTAAGGGACTAGGCTGAACCCCTTCACCATCACAATCAAATTCTCCACATGGCTAATAACACCAACAGAGTTATCTTTATTGATCTTACTATTTCCAATTCTTCTTCTGATTCTTCTTCGTTGGCATTCCCCTCACTTGGGGCCCCAACACCTGAACTCTCTTCTAGACCTTCTCTTGCCTCTGAACAATCGGTGACTTCTCCCTTGCCCATGGAGGAGAATAACCCTCATCTCCCCCCACAAGTATCATGGGATGTTCTTCCGGGTCCCGGCGCGCTTCCTAACAGTGCTAGAACGGAAGTCTTTTCTGGATGTCTTGGCACGTCTCGTCCACAGAAGAGACGCCATCCCCACTCAGGAGCTTCCCGGTTGGTCTCTGGTGCAAGGCCTTCCTCCCAGGGTTCTCCTTCCCCTCAGCAGTCATATGGACAGCCACCTGAGGAGTGGGGGGACTATGACATGGGGGGAAATAGGCTTCCGTTTATACGCAGGGAAAAGGACGGAACCTTCCAGGATCCACCTCCACCTTCCGTATAAGAGGAAATAGGCCTTGAGCCCTTCCCTCATGCCTTATCGTCCTCCTTGTCCGTCTTCATGGGAGTGACTAGATAGTGCCCACGGGGGGAACGGCTTTCAATCCCAACCCGTTGGTACAATTTTGCCTCTTTTGAATGTCATCAAGAGAGAACGGTGGGCCCTCTCCACACCTTCCCGCTCTGGGGTATTTTTCTTGCTCAGGCATGGCAGCAAGGGCCAGCGATTGCCCTCCCCTCAGATTTCTGAGGTGCTGACTCGCCTTGTCTTCAGATTTTTCCAGTAGTAGAATAGAAGTAGATCAGGGATAAAGTTCATTACTGTAACCCAAAAGAATGTAATCTTCTGTTTGAGTTATTTAATGAAAATCTTTGTCTCCCGTCTGTTTTATGTTTTGTTGTTAGATCAGGGACAAGGCCCATTACTGTAACCCAAAAGAATGTAATTTTCTGTTTGAGCTATTTAATGGAAAAACCTTTATCTCCTGTCGTTTAATATAACTGTGTTGTACGTGCCGCCATCTGCATGAAGTAGAAGTCTATATTCATTTAACTCCTTACCTTCCACGGATGACATCTTTCCCAAAGCGCAGATGGGCCCAATTAACTGGCCCATGCGCTTAAGTGGCGAAAACCCTTAGTCAAACATTGGGAATCTTCGACGCTTCATTCGCCAATCGCTTAGTCTTTCATGTCTTTTAACCGCATTCATCATTTCCCAACTATCCCTTCCCCTTTCACTATAAATGGGAGAGGATGGTTTGCTGCTAGTTCATCCCTTTCTGATTTCTTCGCCATGACAAGTAAATTTCAGGGTAAAGTCGTTATCGACTTAACCCTTTCCGGGACATCTTCCTCAGATGATGATTTCTCCGCCTCCTCGACTCAATCCAAGACATGGCTGGGTTGAGTCCTGGCGAGTTCTCAAGACTTCATCTAGCACCTCGTCTTCCCGCACCATCTCCTCCCAGTCCACCCAGGCTTCCATCCGGGAAGATAGACTGGGACTCTATGACCCTCCAAGACTTCGCCTTGTACCAGAGGATGCGCAGGACTAAACTTGAGCGTTCTCTGCCGACTGTCGAGGCAGAACCTTCACGTGAAAGCCGGACTGCTTCTCCAAACTTGCTGAGGTCTCTCAATGATGGTTCTTCATTGGGAGCACGAGCTCCCCATCTTGGGACGTGGGAAGACTATGACATACGGGAAGCTGCTGATTCTGCTGCGTGCCCCTCGTCGAAGAGAAAGAGCCCATGGGAAGGGCCCCCGCCTCCTTTTTGTTGACTGCATGGATGCAATAGGCCCTCCTTCAGTGCCTAGCCCCCTACAAATTAAATTTCTTTTCCTTGCTTTATTTCAAGAGGCATTCACTTGTTTGGTCCAGGAGTTTTTCCTGCGTCCCATACTAAGGAATGTCCTCCCATTTCAGTCTAGGATTTAACGTTGTAATTCAAAGATACAACCTTCGAGTTAGCAATCGATAAATTCCCTCATTTTTTCTTTATCTCACTAGGAACCTTTGTTGTGAACCAAAAATGTAAACTTTGGCCCATCAATGTGGTCCTTAATGGTTATTTCTCTGCACTTTTTCTAATGCAAGTACATCTTTCATTCTCTGTATAAAATCTCATCTCCCGGGGTTTGGACATGCCATGGGAACCTACCTCACCTGCCCCTGACCTCCTTTCCTCCGGGTTAAGGCATAATCTTATCTACCTCAGATCAGTTGAGCTCCAACCCTCGAAGTTTGTTTGCTCGGTTGATCTGTGCTGGTGGAATACTAAGCTTCAGCCCTCGAAGTCTGTTTGTTGTTCTTCCCGAATTCCAGGTTGTAAAGGCCCTTAAAGTCCAATCCCAACCCTTCCTTCATTTTTGACGGAGGCATAAACTTATCTACCTCCGGGGGGGCATAAACTTATCTACCTCCGGGGGGGCATAAACTTATCTACCTCCGGGGGGCATAAACTTATCTACCTCCACTATTTTTAGCAGGTGGCATAAACTTATCTACCTCCCTGTAACGTGGGTCTTTATCGCCCGGGGGGTGCTCTCCCCCCCTTTTTTGTGAAAGAAATCTATACAACAATGAACATGCAAAGGCACTTGGCTTTAAAGGAAAGAAAAATTCATTGAAACAAACATCTTAAATTTAAAAATAGAGCACTTTACAAAATGATTTTACTGATAAAATTTTACCAAGTGCTCTACATTCCACATCCTATCAATTTCTTTTCCCTTTGGAGTCACCAACTTGTAGGTACCTGGGCTGTAACACCCCAACCCGCGTGACCCGAATACAATGACCAGCGGATCGGGTTGCTACTAGATTGGCATTCAGACACAATAATTTTCAAAACAATTTAAAAACATTTAATTCAAAACAATATTTAAAGCATTCACCGGAGTAAGTAAAACGGTGCGGAAGCCTTTAAGTATTTAATCAAAATACAACTTTGGGTTCTTGCCCTTAAAAACATAAATAATTCAAACTTAAATATTAAGCAGATAACTCCTCCAGCCAGCATCCATCCATCTCTCTGCCCTCGCTGCCCTCCGGGATAGTTCCTTATTCATCATTCAGGTTACCTACGTGTAGCAAATAGGAAAAAGGCTACACGCTCAGCATTGAAGCTGAGTGGAATCTATCTAACGTTCGACTACGCACATAGACGAACCCACTAGCTCATAACTCCATACAATATCATGCACACAAGTATACAATAGAATAGAACATAACAGCCACCAAATAAATTCACAAGTCACAAATCATTACCTTATTTCCTCTGTATTCATAGCTCATAACACAATTACCAGACTAAGTCCATACTTTTATATTTACAACCTGATGTTCGGACTTAGAGTCACTACCTACGGCCATGACTCAAGTCTACTTTATTTAATACCTTATGACACAACACAACTTGATGACCAACGAAGGAGTTCTCCGCTGGGTGGGTGGTAACCCTGTCCCCTTCGGAACGACAGTTCTTGGATCCCGTACGTACGTTTTAACCCGCAGCCGTCGGATATCAGATCCGCAGGGCTGATCCTATCTATTGACATTTATACTTACAATTGTACTAAGGCAGTCCTAGAGTTCCCCTAGGTAGCATAATCATTTATTTACAACATCTCTATAATTCAAGCTTATTCCAACAACAATCTCACTTCCTTATTTACTTCCATAACCCAACAGGATTATATTTAATCATAACAATAAATATATCATTATTCAGACAATAAATCATACAACTCAATTAGCGGCCTAGTGTCAGGTGTAACACCTTCTACTGACAGCGAAC